TCTTTGCTGAGGGACATTTACTTCCTCCATGTGTCTTACATTTGTTGGTTGGTGGTTATTCATTCGATCCAAAAATGATACTGCCCACCTTTCCATTGTGTTTATTAATTGCTGTCCCATAGCATCTACTAAGCCGCCCCACGGATTGACTGGCTGAGTAGATGGGACACTGGATGGTCCAATTCCTTGGTCTCGTCCACTATTACGAACAAATGGTATTTGCTCTGAAGTATTGGTCTGTTCGACCATGGGTTCTGATAAGATAAGAGTCTCCATAGGATGTGTTATCACATTATCCTCTGGATTGGATATCTCCACCTCTCCTTCCACGCCTTCTTCCAATCGTTCATTTTCTCCTTGTCTCCTACGTCTAGCCATTTTTTAAAGTATCCCACTGGGCGTGCCAAAAATATATGTTGGCTTTTTGGCTTTCGAAGGTTATTTTTGTAATTATGAGCGTGCCAGCAAGGATCAATCAGTCCTTACAGAATTGTAATTGCCAAACAATTATTCAAACGATTGTGTTATGGTTCTTTTAGCCTCAATAAAGCGGACTTTTACTGGTGGCTTACTGGTAGCTTGACTTCAGAGAACTTGAGCATAAGAACAGTTAAATAAACTGAAGCATTTCATTAGTATGAAAAACTTACAATGATCTTAGCTCCGTAGAGATTTACAGCGGCAATATACTCGAAAACTACTCCTACAAATGAAGTGCAGCGCAGGAACTTAAAGTACAGAAATGTAAAGAACAGGAAATAAAACTGGAATATGTAAAGTAAGACTGGTTTTCTTTAGATTTCTTTCTGTCCCCATCTCTGAAGTCCTTCCTGCTATTTATACTCTCCGAAGATAACCATCGAACTGTACTTCAAACTGTCGAACTGCTCCTTCGTAATCGCTGATCATGCTACCTTACTTCGAACTACGCCTTCACTTGCAGTTAGGCTCCCCTCCTACATTCGAATTTGAATGTGAGCAACCGTTGAAGCCATGTCACCGTACATCTCTTTGTTGATCCGCTGCTACTCAGATCTTATAACAACCAATATTAACTGTCACGTGTATGATCAGGATCGAAGACCTGACTGGTCTCCCCATATTACCCTTACTTTGCCACGCATCGAATTGTCACTGGCTAGCACAAAATATGTAGCCAACAATATGTTTGTGAAAATTTATTCAATTTTGTAAGGTAACTTAGGTATATTTGTAAAAATTTACACAAGTACGTATGGTATGTATTTACACACTTAAGAATTGCCAAAAAGGAAAAGGATTATGGATGTATTTTTTTCAGGTAAATAATATAAATTCAAGGGCAATTTATACAAATGGTCATTATAATTTATCTTTTGTATTAATTTGGTATTTGTAATTTTAATTTTTGACACTACATCAATTTAGTCAAATTGATATACCCATAATTTTATTTGTTTTTTTGAAATTTGGTATCCAATTCAGTTAGATCAACTAATCTATGAGATCAATCACAGCGTCTACTAACGGGGAGGACTAATTAAAGCGGGTACATTATTACATATGAACAGAGTTCAAGAAATTATTTATATGTGGAGTTTTAAACCTAAGACTTTGGGTGAACACGCTCTCAAATCACAAGTCTTATCACCAGGCCAACCTGTTGGGCGAACTAATTCGCCCTCTTTAACATTAGCTCAATTTTTGGAAAAAATTTATCACGTAAACTAAATTAATACGAATTAAAAAAATAAAAGGGACAAATTAAAAAAACAGCAGTGATTTAGACCCTCTCAAACTTTAACCCCCACCACCCCCACACACACGTAGCGGGTGGTGATTGAAGAAGGAGAAAAAAAAAGAAAAAAAAAGAAAAGTGACTAATCAAAAAAGAAAGGGGGTCAAAAGAGGGTGGGGAAAGGGGGTCCTAATTTTTATTCTTAAAAAAATTGTTAAGTGATATAATTTATTTTAAATTTAAAGGTAAGTTTGAGAACATTCTAATTAAGAATTTAAAATTTTATTATTAAAAAATTAATTTTTATTTTTATTTTTTAACATCTTCTTATAAAAAATAATTAAAATAGTTATTTCTAAACCACTATTTCTTCCAATTGAAAGAAAACAAAAACTTTATCCAGAAGTTGGTTGGTGATAGCAATTGCATTTATGTGGCTGTGTCTCGTCCCCATTAATGTTAACAAATAAGTAAAAACTATTTGTTGGTTAAGTACGCGGAAGAAGCACTCCCCCCCTAAACAATCAAAGCCAATCATAAATTATGAAATAAATACCCATTTGGGGAGGGTCAGACAGGTTTGTTTGTTGTTGTAGTTTGACTTTCATTTCGCAATTTTTGACCGCACTCCATATATACTTGAAGCCAAAGAATAGTCAACGTTTACATACACGTGTGTATGTTTGTAATTGTAAGAAACCCGTGCATGTTTTAGATAATTAAATAAAAATTAAATTCATAATAAATTTTACAAATATTAATAATTTAAATTTAAATTTCTTTTATGATTCTCTAATTGTTTTTCGAGATTGCCGAACTTTTATCTTAAGAATGGTTCTTCTAATTTGATATAATTTGTGGCTGTTAAAAAAAAAGAGGGGGGGGGGGCCTCTTTTTTTTTTTTTTTTTTTTTTTTTTTTTTCCTTTTTTTTTTTAATTTTTTTTTCTTATTTTGACAATTCATGTTTCAATTTTTTTTTTTTTGAGTTATTTCTAAAGATAACTTTCCTTATTCAAAATTAAAAAGAAAATGATCTCGCATGGCATAAAAATATTTTATTATACATAACTCACACCTTAAATACAAACTCAAATCCCAATATAATAATATATTTTTATATTATGTGACTATTATCGTGATATTTTTTATCTAATTTTAAGTAGAAATTAATTTTAAGAGTAAATGAAAAAAAAATTGAAATATTAAGGGCTAAAGTAAATAAATAAATAAATAAAAATAAAAAAACTTTAAGAACTAAAGTAAAAAAGTAACTAAATATAAAAGAAGCAGAGTGTGATTTATTAAAAAAAATTTAGATTGGCTTTACAATAAAAAAAAATTTCGCTCAAAATTAGAAAATAAAATAAAATTGATGAAAAAAAAACAAAGAAAAAAAGAAAGCAAAGTGTTGAAGTGGCAAATGGAAATAAATTAGGTCCTCGTTTGGAAAGTGGTTATTTTAATAGGTTAATTTAGTTTTTGACTATTTTAGTTGGCTAAAAACTTTATATTTGGAAAGATTATTAGATTTTTTTGTAGTTTGATGTTATGTTTGTGAGAAAAAAAATGAAATGATTATGGATTTGATATGACATTTTATCTTATTGACTAGTTTAGCCTATTTTGTCTTTTTTTGTAAATTTTAGGGTAATTACACTTTGCTCTCCTAAAGTTTCACCCATTTCCCACATTGGCCATTTAAGTTTGATTTTTTCCACTTTGGTCCTTCATGTTTGCAATCCTTCACACTTTGGCCCTTTAAGTTTGATTTTTCCCACTTTGACCCTTCTTGTTTGTAATCCTTCTCATTTTAACCCTTCATATTTGCAATCATTACCACTTTATTCCTAGACTAACTTCCATCCGAAAAAGTAACAGAATTTGTCACATCACTAGCACATCCGTCCCATATGTGATGTAAAAAATTCACTAAAGATGCAAAAAATAAAAAATAAAAGCTAAAAAATTGGAAATTTTTTTTAGCCTTTAGAGAACTTTTTTTTTCAAATTTATTCATAAACATTATTACATTATAGATGTATCTAGATTAAATGCTACTAAAAAAATAAAAACAAATTTAACTCAAAAAAAAAATTTAAAAAAAAGTTCATTAAAGATGAAAAAAATGATAGTAAATTTTTCATTTCAGAATTGACAATACAGGTGTTTGAGTCAGTATTTTTTTTTTCTTCATCTTTAGTAAACTTTTTATTTTTTTAGTTAAATTTGTTTTTTATTTTTTTAGTTACATCTAATCTAAATGCATCTATAATATAATAATGTTTATAAATAAATTTGAAAAAAAAAAAAGTTCACTAAAGACTAAAAAAAATTCCAATTTTTTTGTTTTTTCTTTTTTATTTTTTGCATCTTTAGTGAATTTTTTGAATTATACATGGAGCTAATGTGTTAGTGATGTGACAGATTCTGTTAGTTTTTTGGATAGAAGTTAGTTTAAGAATAAAGTGAAAAATATTATAAATATGAAGGATCAAAGTGGAAAAAATTAAACTTCAAGGGCCAAAGTAAAAAGGATTACAAATTTGAAGGACCAAAGTGGGAAAAATTAAACTTCAAGGGCCAAAGTAAAAAAGATTACAATATAAAGGACTAAAATGACAAAAATTAAACTTAAAAGGCCAAAGTGAAAAACAAATGAAACTTTATAGAGGCATGGTATAATTTACCTTAAATTTTAACCAAGAAAAACTAAAAACCCACTTGTCAAACCAGAGTTCACCAAAGGGGCGAAGGTTCAGATGAAAAACAATCCAATCCACAGCCTATCCATTCTCTCTACACCTCTGTAATAAACAAGATAAACAACTTCTATTTATATTCCTAAAATATATATTTTTTACAATTTTACATTTATATCAAGAATATCATATAAAAATATTATAAAATACTTCAAGACTAGTTAATAAACTTTCATGAATATGTATATTTCTGTGTGTGAATTTGAGTGTGTTAATTGCGTGGTGGACAAAGCCCCTAGACAGAGGCCATCATAAAAAAATAATCTTATATAAACAATTTTTTCTGACAAATTTATTTTACAAGTTGTTGCGACAGTGAGTTGTTCACTGGTTTCCATTTAAGAAATAAATAATTTGTAATTATACATCACATCAATTTGTATGGAAAAGTTTTTTAAAAAATATTATTTAAATTGAATTTTTCATCATCAAATAGTCAATTGGAGTTGGGAATCTGTTTTATTTTTTTTTTTTTTTTTTTTTTTTTTTTAGATAGGAAAAACAATTACAAAGGAGAAGAGCCTCAAAAACCACCAACGCCATTAAAGAAGGAGGAACCTCCTCTATCCAAACTCGTGGTGAAACAAAAATTAAAGGCTAACTTACTTAAACAATGAGCAACCAAATTGCCTTCTCTATAAACATGTGAAACCGATGAAAAACGGAAATGCAATAGTTGCGCCTGAGTCACCCCCACCAAATGACCATAACAAGATAAGTTATCCACCTTGCCTTGGATTGCAGACACCACATTTAGAGAATCACCTTTAAGCTGAATATGACCCAATCCCAAAGCACATCCCAATTGAAGCGCTTTTACCGCACCCAATGCTTCCACACAATCAACATCCTCCAAATAATGAATTCGCACATCCATAGAAGCAATAACTGGCCCATTATTGTCCCGAACAATAATTCCAATACCAGCAGCAGCTTGGGCCTTCCGAACTGAGCCATCAAAATTTAGTTTAAAGACACCCTCACTTGGCACAACCCACCTGCGCAGCCGCACCTGAGACTCTGGAATTTGGCTACATTGTTGAGCTTGATCATACTCTGTTACGTACTTCTCTGCAAAAGACACAACCTCAGCCACAGTCCTTGACTTATTTTCAAAAATAATTGAGTTCCTCTGATTCCATAAGCACCAACATATAGTAATAAATAAATTCATCTGCTCCAGATCATACTTGGCCATAAGATTGCACACCCATTCAAAGCAATTGGTAACAGGCGTAGAATTGATAACCATAAAGATCGAGCTTGACATCCAAACGTGCATTGCAAACCAGCAGTTGTGAAAACAATGGCCCACGGTTTCAGCCTCAACTCCACACCCTGCACATAAATCCATATTCACGATATGGCGTTTCCACAAAGTTGCCCACACTGCTAGCAACCCAAGACACATTTTCCAGCCAAATATCTTGAGTTTATTCAGAATATGAAGTTGCTATAGAGCTCTCTAGAACTGCCTATGTGACATACCATCATTGGAGGTGGCACCGTGGCCATCCGAACGGCCCGTATCCACACACAAATGATACGCCGAGCGCACCAAAAACTCTCCATTCCGTGAATAATGCCAAACCAATTTATTCGAAGGTAAAGTTGGACAAATAAGAATGCATCGAATAACTTCAACATCCATTTCCAGAAATTGTTGAGTAAGTATCTCATCGTGCCAGCCACCCTTCTAGGAATCAATTAAGACACTAACCTTCGCATTGTCCGGAAGAGTCAAAGGTGGCAAAATTACTTTAAAAGAATGAGGACGTGGAACCCATTTATTGTGCTTAACCGAAATGCTCTCTCCATTCCAAACTCGCCATCGCAACCCAGCATTTAGTAAACTTCAAGAGCCTGCTATACTCCTCCAGGTGAAAGATGGGTTGCTTCCTACCATTTCATCAAAGAATGAAGTTTGAGGAAAGTACCTAGCCTTGAACAGCCTTGCGACCAACGATTGAGACCGCTGCACTAATCACCAACACTATTTGGCCAATATAGCCGTATTAAACTGTTGAAGGCATCTAAGCCCCATACCTCCATGCAATTTAGATTTGCACAATTGCTTCCAGTTAGTCCAGTGAATTTTATGAGCTTCCTCTTTTTGTCCCCACCAATAGTTACACACCATTGAGTTAATTTCATTGCACACTCCATCAGGCAGGCGAAAACAAGACATAATATAAGTGGGAAGTGCTTGAGCAACAGATTTAATGAGGACCTCTCGACCTGTAACCAATAGGGATTTTTCTTTCCACTCATTTAATCAATTCCATACGCCCTCCTTAACAAACCCCAAAACTGCTCGTTTAAAGTGACTCACACAATACGGTAGCCCCAAATACTTCCCGTAAGGCGCCAAAGAACCCACCCCAAGAATGGATGTCACCACTTGCTCAGTACCCAAGGCCGTAATTTTACTAAAACAAACAGCAGATTTTGGAAATTAATTTTCTGTCCCGACGCTTGCTCATATGTTTGGAGGACACCTCGCAACACACCCACCTCATCTTCATTTGCAGCTGCAAACAGAAGACTATCATCTGCAAAAAAAACAAATGCGATAAGCGTGTGTGGGGAAGTGGTTTGAAAATACTCTTCGGATCCTAGGAGACGCTAGTGATCCTCAGCTAGTCACCTGAAAAGATACAAGCACTCCAGTCGGGGGTGCCGGAATTAGCACTCCGACGGACAAGTTAGTTCAGACGCTCAGGATAGCCTATTTACCAGTTTTGTGAAGTGATTCTTACATGCCTTTCTATAACCATTGTTCCTGTATTTATACCTGTTCTTTTTGATCCTCGGGGCCAGGGCCTACTTTTTGATCATTGACCTTTCTTTCATTCGGAGCTACTGATCTCCATCTATTCGGCTTCACTCACGTATTCAGTGTCCTGGTCACGCAATATGAAGCCGGATAGTATCTAATTTTCGGAGCGCGCATCCTCCGACTCTTCTATTTATTTGGCTCCCACAATTGCCCCCCAAGCATTTCACCAACGACAGTTGGCTGGAGTGCTTGGTTTTGAATTCCTAAAATTCGGGGCCAAAATTCAACGGTTCGCCTCATCCTCCTGCGTACATCTAAGTGCACCCCTTTCGATTGTTATGTTGACTCCCCACCCCCTCGTACATGTCTATTTATTGCGATTTAAAATTTCGAGGTCCTTTCCAGTACATATTTTATGATGCTCATCGCTGGATTGCCTTCTAGATCGTCCTCGAAACTCTCCTCCGATATCCTCTTCGTCCTTTGTAAGTTCTCTCCTCCCTTACTTCGAGGACTCTTTCTGATTTATTCCTTCCTCGGCATATTCTCATAGACTAGGATATGGCGAAACATTTAAAAGACCCCCTCTCATCAGATCGTATTGCTAGTTTTAGATGCCATTTCTCCATTCCAGATGATGTCCGTTTGTCGCTTGTGGCAGACAGCACTCTTGATATGGAGAGGGAGGATGAAAGCACGATTGTCTTTCCTATTTTGTCAATTGCAAAGGGTGGAGTCCGTTTCCCCCTTAACCCGTTTCTTAGGGTTGTGCTTCGCCATTGGGGTTTAATCCCTTACCAACCTAATGTGAATTTCTTTGGAGTCATAATGGGGGTTATAGCGCTCAACCGTCGCCTAAGAATTAACCTTGGCATTCCAGCCATCCGGCATTGTTATGCCTTTGCTAAGTCTTCTGGTTGGCACGGGCGTTTCTTCCTTAGGGCCAAAGATGTCGATAATCAGCTGATAACTATGCTTTCCAGTTCTGGAAAACGAGTTGATGATGTTATGGTCGTTGTCCAAGGTAACTAGGAATTTGGCGAAAGGGAGGATCACGCCGACCCTATTCCTAGACGGAGGGGCGAGCCAAGTGGCTGATTGTTTTCTCGCTTTTATTATTTGTTCATTTTAGTTGTAAAGCCTCTTTTTTGAAATGTTACGGCTTGGCTTGTGTAAGGAGAAATTTGAAGAAAGTTCTGTCTTCAACTGACGGCGCCGTTCTTTCAGATATCGAAGTCGCGCTCAAATATTTGGGCCGTCGAAGTCTTTAGAAACAAGGCAGGGCAGCCCACATTCTGCTTTGTTATGAGCCGACATATACGACCTTCTCGGCGGTGGAAAGTATCCCGATTCCGGAGGGTGAAGATTCTCTCATCGCTCACTTTTTGTCCGACTTCAAAAACTTGAGGCAGGTTAGTTTTGGAGGGTCGGATTCGGAGCAGGGTGTAGCTAATGTTACCGAATCAGATCAGTCCGAAACCGAATCTGACGCGGTATTGAATTCGACCGATCCCCCATCTGCTTCGGGCCGAGGGGATCTTTCGCTTGACGGCGTTTTTCACGGTTTAAAGGATATTCCCGCTGTAAACCCCGAAAACATGACCGGGTTAAGCCTGACAAAACTTGCCAGGAAGGCGAATGCGGAAAGGTTGGCCGCACGGCGAAGAGCGAAGGCCCTTCCGTCTGAATCCCCACCCGCCACCACATCTCAATTTTCCCTACCTGCTAGCGAATCAGAGTCCTTGATCGTGCAGGCCGGCCAAGAAGTCGAGGCAAAGAAATGCTCCACCGAGTTTGAAGCCGGCATAGAAGAAAATGGCAAACGTCCTCGATTAGAGGGATCGGACGTGATCGTTCCTTTTGTCATTCAGCTGATGATAAAAAAACGTGCCGATTTCTTCTGATGCTTCAGCGCTTAAAGATCCAGAAGTCGCATTCAGCTTGGCTACGTCCGTGCCTTTTCCGTCTGACAAGGAGACTTTTCGGGTGGAAACGGATCTAAATGCGACAGCACTGGCCGCCCAATCGGTACTTTTGGTACATACTCGAACTTAGCTTCACTTAATCCAAATACTGTTGAAGTTATGGTTCTAAATTCTTGTTTTACAGACCGTCGAATGGATAGTCGATATGGGCCGTCGCTATCACAACGTCGTCAAACAGATTGGTCATTTACGCGAGGAAGTTAAAGGCCAGCGGAGAAGGGCCGAGGTCGAAGCGTTCAGGGCGGACAAGGAAGCCTCAAGGGCCAACGCCGAGATGGAGAAGGCTCGTTGCGCGAATCAATTAAGGTCGGATGCCGAGAGGAAGGCGGACGTGAGCGAAGATACGCTCAGGTTGGCCCAGAAAGCGATCTCCAAACTGGAGGCTAAGTTGGTTGAAATGAAGACAGCGAAGGAATCAGCCAAATCGGAGTCTTCCAAAGTATTCGAGGCCGAGAAAAATGCTGGGCTCGCCGAGTACGTGAACCAAGTCCCCAAGTTTGAAAATCAGGGATTCAAACATGGCTAGCACAAAGCCCTTGCTACTGCTAACGCTTCATTGATTGTGCCAATACCATATGAGCAAGTAGATGTTGAGCCATTGGAGTCTGATTCCGATGGCTGATCCGGCCGACTGACATTTTTTAGGATGTCGCATGTATTTTTACAGTTTTAATTTAGTATGCTTCATCTTTTGCAACAGTCAGTGTTTTGTTTTTTTGAATGTATTTTTACGGTTTTAATTTAGTATTTTTCATCTTGTAGCTTTCTGTTTGGTAACTTGAGTATATAAAATTTCCAGAGTTGTGCTCAACTGGCTAAGGAATATGTTGATAAATGTTATTGCTTTCGGTTATGGTTAGATCGGCTGCTTAGCTTAGGTATTTGGCTGATCAGATCTGCCCTTGCCTGAGCCAGGACGTGAGTTTAGGAAGCCGAATGGCGTAACTTGTGGGCTGGCTAAGGCACACATTGATCGGCGCTTGCGCTTGAAAACATGGTCATCTGCCGTTGCCTGAGCTAGGACGCAAGCTTGAGAAGCCGAATGGCGTAACTCGTGGGCTGGCTGAGGCACACATTGATCGGCGCTTGCGCTTGAAAACATGGCCGACCAGATTAGTAAATCTACCATTGCCCTAGCCAGGACGCAAGCTTGAGAAGTCGAATGGCATAACTCGTGGACTGGCTGAGGTACGCATTGGTCGGCGCTTGCGCTTGAAAACATGGCTGACCAGATTAGTAAATCTGCCCTTGCCCTAGCCAAGACGCGAGCTTGAAAAGTCGAATGGCGTAACTCGTGGGCTGGCTGAGGCACACATTGATCGGCGCTTGTGCTTGAAAACATGGCCGACCAGATTAGTGAATCTGCCCTTGCCTTAGCCCGGGCGCGAGATTTTGGAGTTGGGAAGCCGAATGGTGGAACTCGTGGGCTGGACAGTTGTCATCCGACTTTTGACGTTTGGGATTACTGACGTTGCCTTGGGAGAGCTGCATACATTGAAGGATAAGTGGTGCGGGTGCACGCCAGAGGCCCTACTTATTTCCATTCAGGCAACTTGGGAGGGACGAGGATTGGCTGAATTAGACGCTGCAATAAGTCACAATAGCGAGCCTATGCGTACGGGAAGAAGAACGTCAAGGATCGGGAAA